GTCGTCATTGTCATTAGAGTTAAAACTACAATATCATTGCAAAAGGTCAAAGTCGTAAACACTGTATGGCCTACAGTTTTATCTTTGAGATGGTAATGGGAGACACTGGAAGCAAGTGGATATAGCATCCAGGTATGAGATGGAAAAGATTGAATAACTAGTTGGTAGCTTGTAGAAATTGATCTTCTAGGAATCTTCATCCAACAGACCACTAAAACGTTTTTTACCGGATAATTATTGTTCCAGAATGTTGGTCCAATCTAAAGTAATCTGCACTCAAAACTCTCACTAAAACTCCGCACCCAATTTGACGTTCTTTTTCTCTCAGTGCAACATCTTACAAATTCATTTTATGGCTCTCGCATCTTACAATAAAACGGTGCCTGAAGCACCAGTCGGGGAAACAAAAGCCCCGCCATGCACGTGGTAATGAATCCGCTTACCAGACACATTTCGTTATTATGCTCGACGGTGTGCGAGACGCGCCTAATCTTCGATTTCCAATTTTCTCCCAACTATATGGAGCCCTCCCCCATCCATACCTATTTTTGATTATTGCGTGAGAGGAAATGCCACTGGTCTATTTCTAGACGAAAAATCAATATTTGCATTCGAGTGTTTGAGGTTTTTCTTTGGAGCGGAGACTATGATTTCGTGTGCTTCCTTAATTGCTGTTGCTATTCTGTTGACCTTGTCGAAATTTATGATATTTATTCGTGTGGCTTTTGGCCCCTCTGTTTCGGCTTGTTTATCTTCAAGTTACACGCCGTTTCTCTGTCCGCCGTCCCTATAGGTCTGCCCTCTGGCCGATAACATGTGTTCGCTAATGGCCAAAAGACTAGGGAGACCTAAATTACGGCAGGGTCTGGGTCTGGCTTGTCGTTTTTTCTCAATTATTTACTTAGTTTTTGTTAAGCATTTTGTATACTCGAAGCAAACAATTGTTTGAATTGTGATTACAAGTTTTTAATGAATCTCTTGAAGTTGGAATTTCGTTTAATTCTTCACCAAAAACTTTATATTAAAATTGCTTTTGCCATGAATGGTTGTGTCCATTAATAAATCAATTAATCTGATAGACAATAAGAAGTTTTAAGGAATGGCAGTGGAATGATAAAGGGAATTACTTGTGAGGAATATTATTTATCAATTTTGTTAGTGAAAACTTTTGAAGAAAAGTAAAAAGCAGACTAAAATGACTTTCGTTAATAATTATTATAATATATAAAATTATTATAATACACATTTACTTATACACATACAGGAATAACCACACGGCAAACACAATTGGCATTTCTGTCGTTTTCAGAAGCGATAAGACTGTATAAGAATTGGCTGTATAAACACCAGAGCTCTAAAAGGTAATGGGTTGAATTTCGATGCAGGTATTTTGTTTATTAAGCCATCATAGCTGCGTCCTAAAAAATATGTGTCTGAACTTTGAATGAAATACTCTTACACTTAAATAAATATATTTATATAGTATACCAAAAAAATATCCGTTTTATTTAAATACAAAATAGCAGTGAAGGTAAAACCGCAATTCCTAATTACGAAAGTGATATAATTTCTTGACTGAGGCTATAATTAAAATCTCCGTAGTAAGATTCATGACGTAATGTTATACTTTGACTATAATCTCGTGAGTATGTTATCTCGCTGTAGAAATTAGGGGTTGTAATCAAATAACATCTAGAGCTACTTAATGTAAGAATCTCATTTGCTTAAAAGGAATTACTTGTTCTGTTATACAAATTGTAGACCTACTTTTAAGCAGGAGCATTCGCAAGTGAACTGTAATATTACACAAATATATTCCATTTATAATCGAGTATTACTTTCAAGCGGGAAACCTTCGCTTCACTTTAAACCCGATTCCCATTCTCAATATCACAGGATTCTCCCATTACGAGTAAGCATTTCATTCATTTACGTAATCCCCTGTGAATTGACAGTTGGATTTCAAAGCCCATAGATATACATATAAACACCAAGAGACACATTCAGATATATGTATATATGTATCTACATATTCACATACAGATTTACTCAACTTGAGCTTGGGTGTTTTTCACACAGTCGCGCCAGCCGGTTCCGTGACCCAAACAAAGCACACACTACAAGATACATTCACATTGCTCAGTTTGTTATTGCCGGCTCGACTCTGCTTGTCTCAGATGAGAAATATATATCTATATCTATATCTCTAGCTAATACATACATATAAGCACATTCGCACTTCAATTGGCTTGTGGCTGTGGCTTCTTGAAATCTTTGATGTTTGCTTAAAATTGAATGAAAATTCATGAGTAGGGTCGAACAAAAGCATCTTACAAATACAATTCCACGAATCGTGGCTTACCTCTGATTAAAATCTCTTATCTAATGAATTTATATTGTTGGTTGAGTCGTGTAGGGAAATACAATTGCAAAAAATGTTGATAACTTGAGAGAGAGGCTATGGGGGATTCTCCGCGGATTTTTAATTTGTGGTTTTTGTTTGCTGTCGCGGAAAATTTGTAATTGAAAATGTTTTGCATGTTAACTGAACTGCGAACTGAAAAATAACAGGAAAAAGACCCTAACAAAACAAAATAACAAACAAGGAAAAGATTAGATTTTAACACCGAAACTTTGGATACGCTTGCAAATTTATTCTATTGTAGATATTTAAAAATTGATACGATGCTGATACGACTAGCTTAGCTTACAATTCTAATGTTTCAAATATCTGCTAAAAAAAAATCCTGGGTACCCTCTGAAAGAGTATAAATATATGTTTAAAATTATAATTTGTTCTGCCTTCTAGAATATTTAACAATATGTTAGATTGTTGACTCTAACCCTCCCCCATTTACCTCTCTCTGTCTCTCTCACCCTCTCTCTGTAACCTAAAAGTCAAAGTGCTGAGGTATTAATTTCAATCCCTCCCTCCCGCTGTTTGCCTCATTTCAGAGTTAATTTGTATAATGTATGCACCTGAGGGGCCCGTACAGAAATTGTCATTTCAATGGCCGTTAGCGATTTGTGTGTGTTCACATGACAAAACAGCACGAAAAGCTGCGCATTATAGATACAATATATCTGCGAAATAAAGGTTGAAATTAAACCAACGCACATACACGCAGTGTTCACCTCTCGTTTGGCTTTAATTTTAACCAACTTTTAGCTCTACAATCATCAGACTTATCCATGGCTAAATGATGTTTAATACACACGACACGAGTACAATAAATTAAGTAACTTTAGCGTCTTTACCTCCACACCTTTCCCAGTTTGCTGCTCTTTCCACAACTTCCACAAATTGTACCCAAAGTTCATGAACTTTTTCGATGGCACTTTTGTTTACCGAGAAATGGGGGGCGTATGCCAATGCAGATTACCATCTAATTAAAGGCAATTCAGGGCAGGCCAATGTGGTTAATTTGTTTAACATTGATGTATATTCACACACACACACATACAGCAAATGACGTCACAGACTGTAAATTAACGAAACGTGTAGATGGAGCAAATTAATTTGCACCTTTCAAGAAAGTTTATAGAAAACAAAAAATGTTCTGAAGAGATTAAATAGTTCCTCTCTCTCTCTCTCTCGGTTTTGTATTCATTCCGCAATTATTTATTTATTCCCCCACTCATCATTCTTCATTTACTCGTAGTTTCAAATTCTACGAGTGTTCTCTGATGAATTATTAAAAGACTTTGCTGCAATTGTTATCTACTCGGAGAGCCCCCTAGCCACATGGCCCTGAACTCATTAAAAACTTGGACAAGATTGCCATGGAACAGGTACATGGTATGCTTGCGAGAGTGCAGTTGTGTGTGGATGGTATGGCCATTAACAAACATTCGATAGCCCTATCGAAAAAATATAAGTATGAATAAAAAAAGTGAAACACAAAGAGAACCAAAGAAATCCATCAAAAAAGGCAACGCCATTGATAAGAAGATTGATAAGTTTGGTATGCTGTTCGAAGTGATAAGAAACTGTGCAAAAGATATGCTGAAAACAAATAATAAAAAAAGAAGGCAAATGTGTCTTAGTAGGTCGAAGCTAGTGATAGCCTATGATTTTGAATTATTTTTTTATTAATTCCTCACTCATTATTATTCATTTATAAAGGAATATTTTTTTAAACTGCATCAAACTGTTTGCTGTTGGTTTTTGTATTCTCAGTAAATCTATCAAACTTGCAATTTCATTGAGCACTTTTCCTACATATATTTGTATACCTGTACTCAAAAAGAGTTAAGGGGTATATTAGATTTGTGATAAAAGTGGATATAAAGTTTATATATTGTTGATCAGCATCAATAGCCAAGTCTCTGTCTGTCCGTCTGTCCGCCCCCACAAAGGAAGAAAATCTGAGGCCGCCCAAATTTATATACTGACTGAGTACGGGTATAAAAGTAGAGTCGCGTCCAAAGAAGCGACTCACACGTTCCCTCTCGTTTGTTACTATTTCCTAATCTTCCAAGGAATATTACTGAAAAATATTTATTTTTCGCACCTCTCGATTGACGTATTGTTCCGAGTAGATCTCCACAATGAGCTATCTCTCAAATGCGCTCAACCATACAATTATGACACCATATTATTGTGTAAACGCCCATTTACCAAATGCAAAGAACATTTTCTCACAGATATCATATATTGATCTACAAACAATGCATTATGGGGAATCTTGAAAGGGAAACTGTCGCATAATTTATGGATCCATCTAATAATTGATAAGCATCGACACAAATATATTGGTCATATCATATCACATTATCAGGGGTGCCACAGAAATCTCTAGAGTAGTAGTACATTTCACATCATATCGTCAAGTCTCACATTATTGCTTACAGCTAACAGCCTGGAGAAATGTCGCTAAGAATATTACTCCATCAATATGGATTAGTCGCATCACGTCACTCCCGTTCTTTCTTTCCACTGCAAGCTCTCAACTCCCAAGAAAACCCCCCTAAAGATATAATTTCTTTGATCCACTTACCGATTGATAAGCGTCGACTGCAATCTCTTGGTCGGCGGCGATGTAGGTGACGTTGGGAACTTGGAGCTAGACCGTATGCCGACACCAGCGCCGTTGCCAACTGAGCCTTTATCCTGTGGCTGCCGCGTTGACGGGGGCGGTGATGGTGTGGCCGTCTTCGAGGTGGTGGCGGTGCTGCTGCTGCTGCTTCTCTTTACAACGAGGGGGTGTCGCGGGACGACCTTGGGGGTGGCCGAGGGCGAACGCCTGGCACTGACACTGGGACTGCCCCGCGGACTGGGCGTGGTGGCCTTGGACACAGAGTTCGAGGAGCCCTGAACGGGAGTGGAACCGGCGCCAGAGCCCTGGAGAGGCGTGGATCCACAGCCAGAGTTCTGGCCCCCCGCCATGGCAGCACGGGTGCTGGAAACTTTCGATTTCACATCATTATAGTTGGTTTTGATCAACGGCTTGTTGCTGGCGATCTTATTCATAACGGCATCCCATTTATTGGGCGTATGCGATTTGCGAGACGCGGGCGAGGCTTTGCCACTGCGCGGCGACTTGGAGCTGCGAGGGGTGCCCGATACGTTGGTGGATCTTGCGGTTGTTGTGGTCAGAGCTTTGCACGACTTGGGCGAGGCTATCGACGAACTGGAGGAGGTGGAGCCGCGGTATGTCTCGACGGTGCAGAGCGACGACAACGAGGCGTGTGGACGCGGCGACGCTGTGGGCTGAACTGAAAGACCCAACGATGATCGGCAGCATTCGCCACCGGCACTCGCTGGGCCGGCCGCCGTCGGCACGAAAGCTTCGTCGGTAAAGCTCTTCGTGCTCCCCCCATCGACGCTGCAGTACGAAGTTCGATTCGAAAGCGTTGTGGCCGCCGAAGAGGAAGAGAGACAGCTGCTGGGGGGTCGCTGCTGCTGCGGCTGCTGTTGCTGCTGCTGCGAATGACCTTGACCTGCCCCTCCTGTTCCCGATCCAGCCTTGCGCATTGTTTGTGTGGAGTCATCCGGCGACATATCCACATCCGGATCCACCTCCAGCTCCGGCTGCCGCATCTCCTCATCGCAACGATTCTCCACATCTGTGAAGATTCCCGAAGACTCCATGCACGAGTCCTCCATCTGGGGCACCGAGGCACTCGGCTGCATGGTGGGGCCATAGAGCTGACCATCGATCACTTGGGCCCGTCGATCGCCTCGCTGCAGCACATCGTCCGCATCGGATTCGGTGAAGAAATCAGAGTCCGTCATCGGGTCCTGGCGCCGCATGGGCGCCGCAGCTGGAGCTGCCGCCGGGATGGGTGGCGGAAAACTGGGCTGGCGGCTCACCCGCCCCAAATGTGGGCCATTGCTGGGGCTGTGGTCGGAGGCGCCACGCGAGGCTGGACGCGACATTTCACCATCGCCCTGGTAGCCCGTGTCCAGGCTGGTGACACTGGTGACGCTCGTGATGAAGCTGTTGCTGAGCTTCGACTGCCCCGCAGAGGGGCACACCTGCGGCGGCTGGGGGGCTGCCTCCACCTGCTTCACGATCTCCGTTTTGATCTCGATGGGATCCAGAGGCAGTTCCTCCGGGGAGGGCGTCTGCTCCATGCGCAACTGCTGCATGTTGGGGTGGTGCATCCGATGTCCGCCCGCCGCCAGCTGCAGCTCCATGTTGTGGATGTTATTGTTGTGCGGCGAGTCGAGGAACTCCTTCATTTGGTCGGGCGTCAGGATGCCCAGGCTCTCGTCCATGTCAAAGGAGCTCTGCTTCTTGAGGAGCTGCTGCTGCAGCTGCTGCAACTGCTGCTGGGAGGAGGAGAACGAGTTGTCCACCAGCTCGATGGAGCAGTCCAGCGTGGAGTCTGGCAGATCCAGGCCGAAGCTGTAGCGTGTGCGACTCCTCGACGCTGTCAAAGTGTTCTCTATCGTTCGGTGCCCTTCGGCCTCCGGGGTTCGCGTCGGGAGCATCATTTCGCTCTGTGCCTGCTTCAGCAGCGGCGACAGCAAGTGCACCGGCTGCGGCGTCTGCTGGCCCAGCCGCATCCCATGCGGCGTCGTTGTCGCCGACTGGGGCGAGAGGCACAGCAGCGTGTGCTGGCCCATGGAGCGGCGTACCATCTGAGCGGCATTCCTGTGCGGCGTGGCCTCCATGAACTCCCGCGTCAGATTCAGCAGCTGGATGTGTCGGGCCGGCGACTGGAGGCCACTGAGGTCGAGCAGGCGCTCCGTGTTCAGCGTGGAGTTCAGCGGCAGCTTCATGTTGGCCTTGTCCGGCGCCATCGGAGTCAACGTCACGTCCAGCGTGTCGTCCAGCTCGGTCTCCGATCTCCCTGTGGCGCCACCGCCCTTGCCACTGGCCACCACATCCAATCCCGACGGCATGGACATGTGCTCCAGCAGTGGCAGCTGGTCCATGCTCTTCGTCAGATTGCCTCCGTTGGCAATAAACTTCGTAACATCTCCCGGTGCATCGATGGTTCTGGTGAGGTTTCCCATTCCGGTCGAGTGGGATGCGATGGTTCTGGTCGAATCCCTTGGCTGGATCACCAACATAGTCCTGCCCAACATCGGTGAGCTGTTGATGGTGTGGGTGGCATTGGCTGCCACAGAATCTTGCGCCATCCCATGCATCGTTTTGCCGAATCCCGGCGAAAGACTCTGCGGCACAATCGTCAGGGTGGCATCTTTCGCTGGCATCCTCAGGGACGGTGATTCATGGGCTATGGGGGAGCCCAAGGAGCTCATCTTGGCCAAGCCCTTCATCACCTGATGGGCCTGATCCAGCATGGTCTTGGGTGTATCCTTTAAGATGCGCGTGGCATCTCTTGCCAGGAGCTGCGTGGCATTAGCATCGGGTGAGTCCATGTCCAAAGTTTCACCAAATCCCAGGCTGGAGATTCGTGTGCTCTCCAATCGCGTTCGGTTCAGATGTGGCGACATCTTCTTCTCCTCCTCCTCGTCACAGACGAAGGTCTCGGACCGCAGCAGGGGCATGGGTGTGCTGCTGGTCAGCTGCTGGCTGCTGACCATGGCCCGCTTCCCGCCCGGCATGGGCGTCACCGGCAATGAGCTCGTCATCGGCGATTGCTTGGGATTGCCTGCAGCTGGCGCTGTTGCTGGCGCTGGCGATTCCCCTGGAGAACTGCTCCGGATCATTCCATTATTGTTGCCAAAGTATTTCTTGAGCACTGTGGTGGTCCGCTTGCTGAGCAGGCTCACCGCATTGTTGATCCTCTCGCCACTGGCGCTCTTCTTGATGCTGCTGCCCAGATCCCTTAGCGGGCCTGTGGCGCCACTTGATGCCGTATAAGCGCTGGCAGGACGCGTCTTAGCCGCTGTCGGTGCCGATGCCGATGCCAGTGCTGGGGTGCGAAAGATCTGTGTGGCCTTCAGTGTGTTCCCAGTGCTCGTCGGCGGTCGTATGTGTGAGGTGGTGTTCGGTGCGAAGCCAAAGTTTCCCGGCTGTGGTATCCGGGTATGGCCATCCAGGCGGGGTATACGTGATGTGGCCGGATCCTGCAAGGACCATAAGAAAGGCAAAGAGAAATGTAATTAGGTTTGGAAAATCTCAAAGATTCTTAGAGCATGCAAATTATTCCAGCTGTCAGGGCAAACACTTTCCCCGTCTGTTTTTCTATCCCCAAAAAAAACGGATGACTTTGCGCATAAATTGCGTTGCTACACTGAGAGAAATTAGTGCTAAAACAAGAATAGAAACTGTATCGTAGTATATAGCCTAGGATTATATGGATATCCAGAGATCAAATGGATATCATAAGTGCCATTTGAAATCAGAAAATATCAGAATTTAATGGTCTCTGCTCGTGTCATCGATATGGCAAGATATCTGTTCGCTTATGAGAAATTTGTTAACCGAATTTACGTCTTTAATATGGCACAAAGAAACTGGCAATCAATCATTATATCAACTATATTGAAAGGACTTGTTTAGCTTCTGTTATCTTATTTCCTTTATATTCCATCATCATTTGTTCAGTGTAGTTATTCTTACTGGCGCCAGCCGGGTCCAGGCTTTCATCCTAGTACATCCTGCACGTGCTCAGACTTTTTGGCAGTAGCTGCCGTGTGGCCAAAGTAGTTCAGTGGGGCGTTTCCACTTGGCACCAGTTCAACGCACTTTCAGCCAGCGTCAGGGTGGGGTTTCTTTGCCCTTTTGGCTGATGTCATCGGACATTATGCAGCTCCATTTCACTTCGTTGTCTCTGCTGCAGGGTTGGTCCCGTCCCCTCCCTTAACCACTCCCCCAAAGCTAATTGCAGTTTAATCAAATCAGAAAAAAAAAAAGGAGTCAGCTATAGCAGCAGGAGTTTTATGGCACCATCGAGCTACTTATGGCAGTGGCAAGGGGTAGGAAAAGTAGAAAAGTGTCCTGGCTATAATGAAATTATAGCATCGAGGGGGATATAATCACAGAGATAGCTAATTATGCACGAACAGGAACAGGAGAGGAGTAAGGCCTGTCTGAGGGTGGATTCTTGTGGTTCGTAATAGATAAGTAATGATATTAGGGAATGGACGTTATATAAGGCTCTCAGTTCTCATTAAGGGATTTAGTTTCAGGCCGTGAATGTGACCTAATGTGGGGAGCAGTGTCGCATATATTCCAGGGGGAGGTCGGAGATATGTAATGGAATTTATTGGAAGTCCTCAACATTTCTCATCAAGGAATGTGAAACTGAAACTAAATCTAGCACTGAGATCTGTAGATTTTGGACCGGGAAATTTCAGAAGATGTTCCCATCTATTTCAGCTTTTTAATAAGAATTAATTTTACATTTACTTATTTCATCTATCTCGAAAGAAATATTTTCGAAGAAATAATTATTCCATTTAGATATTTCCATTTCCCTGCCTATCTCACCATCTCAACAATTTCTATCTCTTTGAAATATGTACATATATCCTCAATATCATCCTCACCATCAGCACCCAAAAAGTTCATTTAATGTGCTAAATGCTTGTCAAACAATCAAAGTTTCCCATCGTTTAGGCAGACACGAGAAAGTTTCTTCATCTCTTTAGACAATCTTTTGCTTTATTTTTTGTTGGCTTTTGGTTGCACATTCTAAATTTGCTACATGCCACAATATGAAATGTACTCGATGGCAGTTTACACAGAGCCCAGCCCGGACTTAATCGAAAATGCAATTTTGAGCAGACAAGTTAAACAAGCCAAGCCAAGCCAAGCCAAGAGCCAAGAGCGCTGCCATCGTCTCGAAGTTTCAGGCTCAGCAGCATGAATGGATGAAATGGCTGGGATATAGGGAACGGGCATGTGGATGCCACACCCAGCCCAGAATGTCCTTGAACTTTTTCGCGTGAAACTTTGTACAGCACCGGAGCCGAGACCCCAAACGCCATACCCCCAAAAGCGATTGTTATCAAGTGCAAAATGCACAAAAGTTTCCACCAAAGGCGTGTGGCACAAACTGTGTTCATTTCTCAGCCAGCTCCAATGCCACTGCTGCCACTCCACACTGGCCCGGCTGCCACTGGCGCTGGCACCATATGTGGCCATAATTATTGGAACATGACACGATAACTGCGGGGGATTGGGGGCAGCTGTTCGGGGAAATTAAATGTGGCCGATAAGAGCGTTGGGGGAATTTGCATTTAAGCCTTTTCCACACAGCCATATGAGTCGCTCCTGCTTGGGGTTGCGCAAAGGATAATAAAGTGAAATATTACTGATTAATCAATAAGTTATGGCGGCATTCCATATTGCACAATTTGTGGTGGAATTTGCGTGGAATTCGAGAAGTTTTCTCTGGAAATGTTTTCGGTTTTCTCTTAAAATTCAGATTAATTTATTTTTTAAATAGTTTTTTTTTTATAAATAACATCAATAAATTCCACTGAAAATGGTACAGTGGTTAACCCATAAGATACTCCTACTAAAACATAATATTCCATAAGTTCTTACGTTTTTTCAACTATTTTTCAATCCACTCAAAAAACTGTTTTAGAAAGTGTCCTGGAGAATATTAATTTTCTTACGAAAACTCTATAATTTCCCTTCCTTTAACTTCGTTCCATCTTTGCGTAATTTAATTTCCTTTTAAAAATATTGCACTTTCGATTATAAACAAAAGTCCAAGTGCCAATTGGTACACTGTATCCAATATTTGTCACAACAAAATATATATTTCGCGCCCGGGGACCGACAATCCGGAGCACAAACAACTACAAAAAAAGGGCGATACGCATCGATTGAAACACAAATAAATACTGTCACAACAAAGTGAAAGAAAGTAACCAAACGAATACAGCTGACTAAAGGGAAAGCCGGCACACAGAGAGCGAGGGTGGGTACAGCAGGATGTACTTGGGGAAGGATATACCACCACCCCTAGTACCAGTGGCACCACCGACAGCGACACCACCAGCTGCATGTAGGTTAAGCGCAAACGCATGTCCTTTGCCCATTGAAAAGTCCACGGAAGAACCGAGCAGAACACAACAGAACGGAAAGGAAAGGAACGGAACGGAACGAAGCAGAACGGAACCACAACGGAACTAAATAAAATTTTATCGATTTCCATATACAAGGATTTAATATATAGCCCATCCATAAAGCGGTAGCAGCGCCACCCGCTGTCACCATAGAATGTTACCATTTTTATACACTTTCAGAGGGTACTACGAATAAGAGCAGTTGTTTCCAAGAACTTCCCACTGTTGAAATACTCAGTAGCTTGGATATCATACTATTAAATGCCAGAGGAATGATCAGAGTATCTTCTTTAATTACAATCAGATGACTATATCAGATAGCTCCATTAAGAACAATATATCGGAAAGGGTATCTACAGCTTAAAACCCAAAAAGCAATTTTTGCTCTTGTTTTTATGGATATTAATAGCGTTTAACGAGTGGCAAGGGGCGCCACTTGAGGCCAGATTTGGCTTGAACAGTGCATAAAATGCAAAGACTGGCGACTTCTATATATACATACCCTTATGTATACTTATGTATACCCTTTGAGTGCGAGCTTGTGGCATGCATAATTTGCATTACCATAACCCCAGCAGCCCCGTCAATCAATAACGATTTTGTGGCGCACTCGAGGCTATGAAAAGGCAAGAAAAGAACGGGGAAAAAATAATGATGAAATGGTTTAACATTGATTGAATGATTTTCCTCATTTCTCAATCGCTTGGAAAAGGGAAAATGAGTGTATGGAGGGGCCTGCCTTTGGCGGATTTCTATTTGATATTCATATTGAAACTCAGACTTTCAATAAATAAAAGAGAGAATATTGCAGTTAAACCTAGTTATTGTTTGTAAAAGCGTACTAAGAAATGATTTCAAAGCGGATAAATTGAGACAAAAATACTTAAACCCTGAAACAAATTCAAATTTGCTTGATTTACGATACAAATACTCTTTCAACTTAAGTTTTAATCAAATTTCCTGCCTTTCCATAAATGTTCTACAAAATAAAGCACTTTGCCACATTTTCCATCAGTTTTGGGTATACAAACATTTTCATAGTGAATTTAACCAAACACTAGAAAATTTCTCTTAGATTTAAGGCTTAAACATATTGAAAAACAACACCAAAAAACCACTTGAAGTGCCAAAAGCACAGACCAGGCTCACATGGATGGCTTCCATAAACATATGCACATACATTACTCCAGCAGACATTCACCCTTTCGGTTTACGACAGACAGCAAGTGAAACTACCCCAATGACTTTTTACCATCCACCTACGTCCAGATCGAAACAGCTCAATCAACCTGCCTCCCGTCTTGTCTCCTCTTGTGCTGCTTCGACTGCAGTTCTTCCTGTTTTACCCTCTCGTATATATATTTTACAACGAAGGCTACAAACCATTTTCACAAGCCATTAGCTTGTATCCATCAGGGGCACTAAGCGGTTTATCTTACCAACAGCAAGACAGCAGAAAAAGGACGAGCAAGAGAGCTACAGTGAAGAGTTCCAACGAAAGGATGCCCGCTAGTCAGAATATTTGTTGGATACTTAAGCTGAAAATTACCAAATTAAATGGAGAAGAGATAGATTCAATGCCAAAGATCCTTCCACCATATCAAAAGCTTTAATCAGAATATTTCTACCTAACTTACCAACCAGCCTTTCACTCTTGTTCACAATATACTTTAAAGATACAACATTTCTAGATATTTTGCATTATTAATCGGTATTATGCATTTTTCAACTTCACTCTTTGAATATCGATGACGAAAATGCTGAAAAGACTCATAAAGACACTCATAAATTTAACAAAAAATAAGACTCTCGACCCTTGATGCGTACAAACGCCATGTTTGTCTATGATAAAATGCTGGAATTATGCGAGATTAAGGAATCATGGCAAGCTCCAGCTACTGAGTTTAAATATTTCTGCTATATATTCTTTAAGTTTTTAAATTCGCACTTCAAATATACACAAAAAATCCGTCAAATAATATAATTTTAAACCCAAGAACCTAGATTACTCTAATTACATTTAATTTTAATTTAAATTTTAA